AAAGAAAGAAAGAAAGAAAGAAAGAAAGAAAGAAAGAAAGAAAGAAAGAAAGAAAGAAAGAAAGGAAAAGAACCTAATCCTGCTAGGAGGCAGCTTTGCAAATAGACTTTGTGATGAAACTTAGTATTCTCCTCTTGCAAACATTTATGTTACCTTGCTCGTATTTTGGGTTAATGTGCAAATTTATACTTTCTTCTTAGGCTTGGAATTTTTTATTCCTCTACATCTGTAGGCCTCACTGTGTCTCGGTAACCTTGACTTTTTGTCATATTTTGGGCTCTGGTAGATACTTGGTGCAGAAAAGGTCACTATGAATGTCTCTTCACTATATTTGGAGTTGGAAATCTGAGAAATGAGTCAGTCTCTATTACTTGTTGAATTGAGAAATGATAGTAAGGGCTGGGAAAGCCCTGGTGGCCTTGTTATTTCCAAAACTTTATTATTTTGTACTGTATTATGGTATTGTAATCATTTTTCTATTAATATTTTGGATTGTAGAACAAATTACCTGAGTTTCCAGTGTTTCTTATGGATAAATTTTCTTTAATGTACAAGTACTTTGGATTACATATTTGGATTTCACATTTCCAGAGCAAATTATGCTCATGCACCAAGGTTTTACTCCACAGTATATGGATTCTGAGTCTGTTTGCATCTGAAGAGTCACCTTTGGTTCCATGGAATACATTTATATTGGCCAGTGTTTCTCCCGTTTTGTTGATTGAAACTGGAGTTTAATTTGCTTGCAGCTAATCCTTGAACAGAAGGATGCAGTAAGATTTTATTTTTTCACTGTTTTTTGTAATTTCTCAGCAATGAAAATTCTTTTATTTCACTAATTTCAATTTGCTTTGTATTAAAAATATGTGGTCTATCCACAACTATTCCTTTGGTGCTGTTTCCCTACTCTGCACCCTAGCTGCCAGGAACTAGGTAGTTTCGTTCTACTGTGCTCTTACCTCATGAGCTTGCTTCCTTAGAGCCAGCGGAGAGTGGACTCAATCACTTTCTTCTTTACATCGAGTCAGGTATGAGGTCCACAAAAGGGACAAGTGACTAGTGTGATATCATTGGATGGGGTCCAAGGAATCTCTGAAGGAGGAGGAGGACCCTCAAATCAGCCTGCCAGGAGGTTCTCAACTCTTATTGCGGGAAAAGATTTCAGGAAGCATCACACTGACAGCGTTAAAAGGTTTTCCTAGGCAGAATTAAAGCACACACTCAGAGAAAATAGAGCGTGGGCACCTGAGAGAGAGTGAGAGGTGTATTGTCATCAGATCTGTGAATATTTATGGTCTGGGGGCAGAAATTATGGAAATTGCAAATTTATAAAATGTTACACTCAATTTATGGGTGTAAATGTACTGGAGATACCCATTTATAAGCAAAAGGACTATTTTACACAAAAAGCTATGGGCTCGATATGTTGTATTTTATGAGATGGGTGATCTAAAATGCTCTACCTAAAAACAGTTTTTACCCTTTGAGTCTGTTTCTCTAGTTTAAATTCTGGTTCTGCCTTTTTCCATACCAATTATACGTCTTTCAATGATTTGGGAATGGTAAGCTGGAAAAGAAAACCTTAGGAGGGAAAGAACGGTATACAGGTGTGGATAACCTTGGGTGTGTTTGATTGCATCCTGAAGCTGCAGTCTTCATAGGAATACAGTTTTAAAATTGTGGTTATTGAGACTGGGTGTGGTGGCATCGGCCTTTAATCCCAGCTCTTGGAGGTTGACCACAGGCAGATCACCACGAGTCTGATCTACGTAGTGGGACCCTGTAGACTCTTGCAAAAACACAAACAATATACAATTACTCTTGTCTCCTTTCTACATACCTATATTTTTTTTCTCTTTTACCCCAGTAACAGATACTGGAAAAGGAGAAAACAGATTTTCCACCTATTCAAATTCAATATTTATATCAAGTATCTTAGAAAAAAACCTGAACTGCTAAATAAAGATAAATCCAAATAGTCCTTTTGCTTATACAGCTATTTAACTTAATTAAAACCTTTGAAGCCATAATCAATACCTACCCAAGGAATGTTTAAAATCATAATGGATTCCATTGTAAGGCTTCACCATATTATTGGAGGTTAAATAGCTCTTTTAAAAAACATGTTCTTTTTAAATTAACTTGAAGATAATACATTTCAAATGGGATTTTATTGAAAATTATCTGAGAACACTTATTAAGGGGGAATTGCTATAAATCTGATTCTGTTCTAATTATCCTTTCTTAAAACAGTGCGTGAATTATCTTTGGCGGGCACTGTGACCATTATATAACAACCATAATGTTCCCTTTAGTTTGATTTATGCCATCTTCTTCCCCATGGTAGGTCCTTGTTCTCTCTTCCATTAGAGATCTCGCTTTAAAAAACTTTCAATCACAGATTCATGTCCTGTGTTTGAGAGAGGAGAGTAGGACACGGTAAAGGTGGCTGGGAAAGGAGGCATAAGCTGGTGATCATAAAATCTCAGGATGCATGTGCGGAACAGTCCCCAAAGCCCTGCAGGTGGCTTCCTGGTGAGAACTGGAGCAAGATTTGCTAGGATGCCGCAAAAAGAGAGATGCTACCATGAAGTGTTCCCTATTGCTCCTTCTTTGATAACCTGCCCTCTCACTGTAGGGTGCATTTTCTATTTACTTTTACTTGAGCCAAACTTGCTCTGTGTGACTGTTTCTTTTCCTATCTTTGCTGCTGTTTGCACTTGTCTCAACCAATTCTTTGCTTAGGACAGAAAAAAACTAGAAACCACTTCCAGAAGGAAACTCCACACCCTCTAAACTCAGGAACACTTTGAAATGAATATACATCCCTCAGTCTCTTATTCCTGTTACCAAAAAAAAACTAAGGACT